TGGGATTTAAAAACACACAGCTTTGCAGATGCTGCTGCCGCCCAGAGCCTCCTGCCATCTACCATGGTCAACCCCACCATGTTCTTTGACATTGCCATTGGTGGTGAGTCCTTGGGCTGGTCTCCTTCTAGGTGTTTGCAGACAAGTTTCCAAAGACAGCAGAAAACTTTCGTGCTCTGAACCCTGAAGAGAAAGAATTTGGGTATGAGGGTTTCTGCTTCCACAGAGCTATTCCAGGGCTTGTTGCTGGGGTGGCAACTTCACATGCCATAATGACACTGGCGGCAAGTCCGTCTGCGGGGAGACATTTGATGACAAGGACTTCATCCTGAATCACCCGGGTCCTGGCGTCTTGTCCATGGCAAATGCTGGACCCAACACAAACGGGTCCCAGTATTTCAGCCAAGGCTGAGTGTCTGGGTGGCAAGCACATGATCTTTGGCTAGGTGCATGGACAGGGTGGAAGCCACGGAGCCCCTGGGCCCAGGAACGGCAAGACCAGCAGCAGATCACCACTGCCGACTGTGGACAGCGCTAAGATTTGACTTGTGTTTTCTCTTCACCACCAGCCCACTCCTTCCTTAGCTCAGGAGTGCCCCCCTCCACCCCGTTGCTCGCAGTGTGCCCTACCATCTTTGTGCTCTCGCTGCAGTTCTTCGGCTTCTTCGATAGTTCCCTTGTTCCCCTCCACATTTAGCTGGACTGCAGACTTTATGGTTATGAAACAAAAATGAAATAACTAACTAACTAACTAAATAAATAAAATATACATACCCTAAAATCCAGCAATTCCACTTCTTGGTATTACGCCCAGCGAAGCACCCACAGAGACAGGATGGGCTCGCGCATGCTCAGGACGGTGCTGTGGATGCCAAGGTCCAACTGGAAACAGCACGAGGGCAGCAGGAGGGAGATGTTCGCTGTGATGCGCTGTACACGTGACGGGGACTCCACGCACTGACAACAGCGGGGCAGCCCCCGTGCCCTGGGACGGGAAGAGCTACATGCTGTTGGATGAGAAAGCAATCTGCGAGCATTCCGTGGAATATGATAGCAAACCAGCCACAGCGCAGAATCCCACTTGTGACTATCACTGTATGGGACAAGGCACTGAGTGTCTATCACTGTATGGAACAAGGCACGGGAGGATTCAGAGCCAGCTGAGGACAGGGCAGGAGAGGGCAGGATGGAGGTGGTTGGTGGTCCAAGAAGATTTTTGCCTTATGCATAATATTTACATAAAAATCATTAATAATAACACAGTATTTACTTATTACAGAGTTAAAATGTTATTAAAACTTTTCTGGAAGATCAGGACAGTTTTTTGCATGGAGATCCTGGGGCTGGCATCTTGGATGTGCTGCTGTTGACACACACAAAGTGGAGTCTGCTCTGCCCTCTTGCCCAGTTGGGAAAAGCCTGGAATCAGCCCCAAACACAGGCTTCTCTGGCCACTTTCTTTGGACAGAAAAACAGATGAAAGTCAGGGAAAAGAACATCACCTTTGTTCCTATATTTGGAAGGAAAATAAACACCCAAGCTTAGCAACAGCCACAACCAAAACACATGTCGGGAGTGCCCAGCTTATTAACAGCAGGAAGCTCGGAGGGGTCGGCTGCCGCCTGCAGGGACCATGCCTCCCCTCAGAGCAGGCTTCCCAGCCTGGGGCACCTGGGACCCCCAGAGTGTGAGCACAATGTCATGGGTTATACGAGCCTTTTCGGAGAGAAGGGCTATCACTCTCATTAGACATTTCAGGGATGTTGAGCAACAAAAGGTTAAGAATCAATGTATGGGGGCCCCATTAAATATCGTAGGCATGAAATAATACAACATTGAGTTTTGTTAATTTTTATTTTAGATCCAGAGTCTCAATCTGTTGCCCAGGCTGGAGTGCAGTGATACAATCATAGCACAGTGCAGCCTTGAACTCCTGGTCCCAAGTGATCTGCGTACGTGACAGAGATGCAGAGAAATCGATTTCCCCATTTACAGTTATTCTGTGTGTGGAACTGAGGCTTGGCATTGGAATACCAAGGAGAGATGGTGCCCTGACTTCCTGCGTAATCCTTCCCACACCATGGGCCTCACCACCCCTGGGCCATCACGTGTGAACCCACTAAAACTCCATCTGCTGCCCTGATCCTTCTGCCTACAAACACATTCACTTTCCTAATGGCCATACCTGACCTCATTAGTTAACAATGTGAAGAAAGACATCTTAGTTGACTGCAAGCAATGCTCCTCGATTTTGTTAAAATTTACCTTAATTTTTTGCTGTAACCCAGCTCATGACCAAGGCATAGTTGCTTAGGTTTGAGGCACTAGAACCCAAACCTGAACTGCTGGAAATACAGATGCCCAGGCAGACCTCCTGGTCAGGCCTCAAATCTCACCACCTTCCACACCTGTTCCTGGGAGATGAAGTTTCTATCCAGGGTCATCTGTCCCTGGGACCACTGCATTCAGAAGTGTCCATGTCCCAATTGTCCCTCCATCCAAGAGAAGGCAACACACATGTGCCCACGGAAACATGTACAAAAGTGCTCTTGCAGCCTTGTAGATTCTTACTGGCCAAAGAGCCGTGGACTGTGGAGTGGATACATAAATGCCACACAATGGAGCTCTCCTTGGCAGCAAAAATGAGCAAACAAATAACATATGTAATAAAATGAATAATTTCACAGGCACAATGAGGAGCAAACAAAACCAGGCACAAAAGAGAACATCCTGTGTGATTCAGTGTATACAAAGTTCAAGAATATGCAAAATGAACCTGTGGTAACAGAAGGCAAAACACTAGGATCTCCAGTGCGGGGTGGGTGGTGCTGCCCAGAAAGGGCAAGGGGAGCCTAACGGACATTGCAAATATTCTGTCTTGGTCTGAGCAGTTTATAAACATAGACATTCACACAAACACCTGTGCACTTTAGCATATGCACATTATTCTGCAATACAGTTGTTCTTAATTTTTTCAAGCCCATCATGAACCAATTGGTTGCCGAAGGGCAAGGAGCAGCCCCTGGGGCAGCCTCCTGAGCACGGGGCTGGACAGAGAAGGGCGGGAAATGGACCTCATGAAAAATAACCAGGGAGATGCTCAGAAAATGTTTGCTGAGTGGGACAGCAATCATTTACACCTTAGTATAAATAAATATAGAAATTTTTTGAAACAGGGAGGCTGGAAGCTATATGGAAATAGGAGGACACTTGGCTTTGGCAAATTGCAGAGCAAACTGAAAGAAATTACTTGCCTTACTGACCATTCTGCTGCAGATGCCCTGGCTATGTGTTTAACGGTATTTGGATTAGTCCCTTCCCAGGGCTTGATTTCCTTATCACTACCATAATAAGACCTAATACGTATTAGTGCTTGAGGGTTCACAATGTATTTCAGAAGGGTTACCTCACTTGACTCTCCTTGCACCCCACTGAGACTTGATAAGAAGTGCATACCATCAGGGATCATTAGGAATAAAGAAACTGAAGCTCAGAAAAGAAAAGCTACCCACAGTGACAGAATTTGTAGGTAAGGACGCCACAGTCAGGGATGATTGTTTCCTCCCCCCACCAAAAAAAAAAAAATACAGAAATTGGATTAGAAACGGGAGTTTCTTTGAGCCCTAAGCACCTATGTTTATAACGTGTTCTGGTAGGTGATAATCAATTTCTGTTTCGGGCACTTGCTCTTGTCTAGGAGTGGGGGTGGAACCCCTCATTGCCATGAACATCTGTCCTGCTCACACTGCTGGGGCTGACCAGGACAGCCCTTCCCTCACTGGATTTGAGTCTCACACACCCTGTGAGAGAGAGGGGCCGATGCCCTGTGACAGATTAAGTTCTGAGGCTTGGAGCAGTTACGTGACGCGGCCAAGGCCACCAAGCTAGAGGAGGTAAAGTCAGGTTAGGAACCCAGGTCTCTGCACTCCAGAGAATGGGCTGTGCCGAGCACATGCTGAGGTTCGGAGAGCGGGGAAGCATCCATGCTTCAGAGAAGGAAGTCACCCCACAGATACTGTGGGGAACTGAGGGAAGGCAATGCTGAGGTCCCTCCCTGAGGGTGTGGGTGTCAGGCGGAGCCCACTGTTCACAGCTGCACAGGCTCTCATGAGAGACAATGTCCTAGCAAGTTTCATTCACAGAAAACTAGTTCACCTCTACTGCCAGGGTGAGGAGTCCCACTCCTCAACACAGCCAGAGGCCACCTCTTCAGTCCTGTAATGAGGGGCTCTAGGAACCCCTTGCGACCGCCTGCCTTGCTTGGAGGTCTCAGAGGCCCTAATTGCATCTTCTGATGGCAACCACCGTGAGAGCAGGGTGTGGACACAAATCCCACAGACCCAGAGGGGTTGGCTTTTTCCTTCCTCACTCTGAGAAGATCCCTTACTACAGCTAAAAGGCTATTCATGTAGTCCAAAGGTTCCATTCCCGTTCCGTTCCGCACGCCCTTTTCACTGTCCCCAAATGCTTATGACACGGCCTTGAGAGCAACGCAGTGGCAGGAAGCCCAGGCGCCTCCGAGAACCTGAAGGGCTGCAGGGAACCAGCGGCTCGCCGAGCCTGGCGCTGGGCTCTGGGGGGACTCCAGCGCTGGGGGCAAGTGGCGCTCACACCCGGCTGCTCACTCGCCCCACCGGTGGCCTGGGTTTAAAATCCACACGCCCGTCTTTCGGCAGCCAAAGCGATGCTGCCGGGATTGGTGATGACCCCAACTGCCCCGAACCTAGAAGTACAAAACAAACATAGGTTGACAAGTGACCAGAAGAGACCCGGGGAGCATCTGGGCTTCCAACGTCCTCGGTACCGTCCAAGACAGCAAAGGACGCGCGGCTACGGGAGGCGGGAGCCAGGGACGACCGCAGGTTCTCAGAGCGCGAAGCCGCTACCCTCGGCGGTGGCGAGCACATGCCAGCGTTCTCCCCTACGCGGGTCAGGCCTTCGCTGGGCTGGCGGGGGCGGGGCTGCGGTGCTTTAAGAGGCGGCGCAGGCAGAGAGGTCCCAGGCCTGCGAGGGGACCCGCGTCATGGAGGCCGCCCGGGACTACGCAGGAGCCCTCATCAGGTGAGTGCCCCCGCGTCCGCCTGAGCCCCGCGTCCCCCAGAGAACCGCATTCCCGTGCGCTTCCAGTTGCCTTGCGCTCCGCGCCCTCAGGTCCCCTGTGCGCCTCTCCTACTGTACCCCGCTCCCCTCGTCCCCCTGCTGCCCGCGTTCTCTTGCGCTCCACCATCCCGCGAACACACTCATTCGCCCCACTGGTGCCGGAGCCGTCCAGCCGCGCCCGCAGGTAGAGCCCAAGCCCATACCGCGCCTCCTCCCCCTCTTGCAGCTAGGCGCAAGTGCCAGGCGTGGCTCTCCGAGGTGCGCGGGCGTCCGCACAGCAGGTGACAGCGGCGAGTGGCTGCATCTCTGGCCGCTGCTGCAGTCGCTGGCGCAGAAGAGGGTTAGGTCCCAGGAACCCGGAGCAACGCCTCCACGGTGGTCAGGGATTCGGCTTCTGGGGGTTCTGGAAATCGCAGCGGGATCCGGGCGCGGAGGGGCCCAGGCTTGGCCGCTCCTGGGAGCGTGGGCTCTGGTCTCCGAGGGGAGGCTCGGACCCGGCCGGCGGAGCCCGCCAGGTTGGTGGTGCTGGGAGAAGCTTTCCTCTGGCCGGGCCACCGGCTTCCGAGGGCGGAGGCGCTGCCCAAGGGGCTGGGGGGAAGGTAGGGGGACAAGGGGCGAGTGGACCCTGCAGAGGCTTCCCTGCGCTCTGGTGGCCTTGCCACCCGTTGGTGGTTGAACAGGCGACCACGGCTGTTTTCCTGCTTGGGTTAATCTTCATATCTCAACAGACCCAAGCTAATTTGTTGGTAAACTCCTAAGACATGCGTGGCAGCTACTTTAAGGTATAGGTCTAAGACGTGTTTCTCTGAACATCAAGTACCTCGAAAAGGATGGAGAAGCCCTTGCGGGCTTGAAGGTGCGGGCGTTCAGCGGCGCCGGGTCCCACTGTGTATGTTACATGCCGCAGGCAGAGGGACTGCATGGGTAAAAGGAAGGGGATTCCGGCTACAAAAGGCGATCTATGAGCCTCCGATCCCTGGTTCTTAAAGGCGAGCTGTTGTATATACTGCAGGTTAGAAGCATCTTTCTCTTTAAAAACAAGCCCACAGTACAAGTCAGGGCAGTGGCACGGAGATGCTAAGAAACACCTGCATCGTATATGGTCATTAACACACTTAGACCTAAAGGTCAGGGCCCTGTTTCTTTCGCGTTCTTCCAACAGCATCCATCCACAGTCCCAGTCCCAGGAGGTGAGGACTGTTAGCAGTTTGGAATGCGTCCTTCCAACCACTTTTCCAGTGAATTCACAACACACCCACTGTTCCTCCGGAGCATGGGGGAAGGAGGTATGGGCTGACTTGGCACTAACCAATCCTCGTTGGCCTCTGAGCAGGATTCAGGCTGAGCCTGTCCCTGCCTCTGACTATTACAACAGCTCACCAAAATCCAAAATGCATCTGTGTGAGGTCTCCATGAGGTCAAGTGCGGAGTGAAAGTGACTTGCTTATGAGCTGTTGACAAATGAAACACTGGGAAACCTTGAGTCTCCTAGGACACATTCCTAGCTCAGCTGGTCCCAGGAGTGGATGACTACCTGTTAGGGACAAACTGTTGCTGCTGTTCTTTGAAATCTACCCGCTTTCAGGCTGAGCTACTGCCATTGAAACAATCTGTAATTCTCATTGAGGGAAAACACTTTTTCTTCCCTGACCTTCTCTAAAACCCTGTCCAGGCAAAAGAGCCAGAGGCCGGGTCCTACCACGTTTGCTAACTGTGCTCTTGCTGGACTTCTGCCTCCTCTAGGGGTTCCTTAATTTAAACCAGTTCCAGGATGTCATAACTCTGTCTTTATTAGTAAGTAACTGCATTGTGCCAAGGAAGGAACTTAATCAATGTGCACCATTTTTAAAAATCAGGTACTTGTAGGCAATGGTATAACCTTAACCCAGCCATTTGTTAGTTAGCTGGAATCGTAAGGGGCCTCGATCTTGAGGAAAGCAGCCTGAGGTCTCAGAGCAAAGCTCCAGACATCAAGAAGTCAACAATGCATGTTGACTGTCATAGCCAAATCTGCTCTGTTCATGTGTCCTGCCAGTGATAACATTCCTGCCAAAGGCTGATGTTATGGAGCTGGTAAATGCTATCAACACCGTGTGAAATGGCTGCTTTCACAGCTATCCAGCACATCTTTCCTTTCCTTGAACAAGGAACTCTAGGTTTTGTGCTGCTGTTTCAGTGCAAATGTTACCACAGTCTTCTTAGCGACATTAGTAAGGAATTAAGTATTCTATGAGTGAATCTCTCGGCTTTCTGCTTCTTGAATCTAAATTCTTATTTTAATGGAGTTGCAAAGTGGTCAAAGGCTTCATGGTCATGTACTGAATACTTGATAATGTCAAGCCTTTAGATAGCTTGGGAAGAGCTGAACCATGAGCCAGGCAGTCCTTGTCGGGGCAAGTTCATCTGGGGGACAGGTGTGCTCCCAACTGTTATGTCACATCCAAGGGAGCCCTAGGGGAGCCAGGCGGGAAGAAGCCTCATCAAGACAACACTCACTTCTCTGCCTCCTGCCATGGACCCCACAACCCTCTGACGCTGTCCCTACAGCTCAGGGACTCTTCTCCAGCCCTGCAGAGCACTTTCAGAGCCCTCCCTTCCTTCTCTGCATGGCCCTGTTTGACCTCACCACTTCCCTCCTTGGCGTTCCCTGCTGCTCTTGGCTTAGTGACAGTGCTCGGTTGACTTCGACCTCCCTCGAGGAGGAATACAAAGCCTTCCCTTCCCGCTCGTTCCTGGGAGGCATGCCCTTTCACAGCATTCTATGAAGGCTGACTTTCCCTCTCTGCATTTCTCCGAAACCGCCTATTTCCTTAAACAACCTGTTTCCTCATATTTTCCCCGTGAGTGGGTTATTTCCCTTTCTGTTTCATACGGTTGTCTGCCCCCACTTTCACAGGAATTAGGGGCGGCTGTTCTCATGTGGGACGTGTTTAAATGCAGGATCCTAAGTGGCCTTGCTTTTAGGCACAGTGCTGATGGCCAGTGATAGAGATGCCTGTACTCAGTGGGCTGGAGGGGAGCTGGGCGGAGACAGTGTCTTGTTCAGGTAGCTGAAGCAGAGGGAGTGCTCATTGGCACCTGTAGAGTCCTGGTCTACATAGGCCTGGCCTGCAGAACATCTCATTTAACCCCTTTCTGTGTTGCATATGAAACGGTCTTCCTTTTACATAATTTGACCCAGAAATCACTCACTCTCCTCCTTGACAAGAAGGCGGGGGATACATTTCCTGTCCTCAGTGCCCCCAACAGCCTTTCCTCCATTCGCAACCCAGCTCTTGGTTGGGAAATGCTGCAGGTGAGAACAATAGGTTTTTTTTCACGACGATGGCTATCCTGAGGGCAGGTGAAGACAGACAGAGCCAGAAATGCCTGCCAGCCCTTATCTTGTCAGACAGGAAAAGACGGCAGGAACTTGGAATTAATCATCTGAGCCAGGTCACTGGAGCACAGGTGCTTAGGAAGGCGTGAGCATGTTCGTCCAATGAGGAGATGTGGGGCCAGGGCTAACTAGGTCAAAGCTGAGCCTTTGACTACTGGGGCTGGACCTCGCATTAGAAGACATTGACCATGTTCTCCCATTTCTCTGATTTTGGCCTAGCATCTTTAACTCAGTAAATAGACGGCATACTGACAGGCGCTGGATGAAAGCAGGAAATAGACCACCAGACCCCATGAGACAGTTCTAGAAGCCTGGTGCACAACTGCAGTGACTTCCTGCTTTTGGATCAAAGAGAGGCTCTTTCTTGCTGCTAAGTCTGGGCCCTTAGCTCCTGTAGGAGCCACGTCTTCTGGCCAGTGGCTGCACCGCTGGGTGGAAGCTGGAGCTGGGCTCAGACCCTGGTCTAGCACTTGCTGCCCTGACGATTTGCCTCCCCAGGCCTAGGTTTCACTGTCTGTAAGGCGGATCCCAAGGATCGGTTAGGCAAGGCGCTAGCTCACACATACAAGGGTTTGGCATCCAGGGGCGTGCAGACCTTTTTCTCTCCCTCTTGTGGGGGTACTTCAGCTAGTTTAAGTTTCAGCTGCTCTGATGTGATGAGGTGGAGGCTACGCCATGGTTCTCAATGTGAAATGGAACACAGCCCTTTCTTGCCACCTTCTCCCCCAGCTCACTAGGGCTGAGAGTGTGTGCGAATTCCCTGTGGGGTCAGCGCAGGAGTGTTGTTCATGGCATTGTGTAACTGAGAACCCTGCTGTCACTCTTTTAATCGAGGTGACAGTTCAGAAGCTGTGTGCCAGTCCTCGGGATGCGCTGGTACACAGCCTGGCCAGGCGAGGCTCTGAATTACTTGGTGGGTCCCTGGCAAAGGAGGGCAGGTCACTCTGACAGGCCCAGAATCCCCACCCAGCACATTTCCCTTGGTCTTGCCACATTAAAACAAATTATGTAGCAACTTTGTCTACCCAAAAGGGAAAGGCGTTGAGGGCATGAACTCAAAGCACTGCTGCGCTTTCAGCCATAGAGCAGCTCTTCCACACAGCGCTCTGGATAGATGTATATTTGAAGTTCAGAGAATGGATAACAAAACAACGTACTCCCTCAGCCAAAAAAAAAAGTCTTGGCTTTGGACAGACCTGGGATCAGGTTCCATCTTTTTCCCTTATTAGCTGGGCGACTTTGGGGAGCCACTCTGAGCCTCAGTTTTCTCATCTGTGAAGTGGAGCAATGCTTTCCTTGCAAGGTTGTGAGGGTAATTTGTTAATATTAGTTAATATTGAACTGATGGGCATGGTGGCTCATGCCTATAGTCCCAGAACTTTGGGAGGCTGAGGAGGGCAAATCACTTGAAGTCAGGAGTTCAAGACAAGCATGGCCAACATGGTGAAAACCTTTTCTCTACTAAAAATACAAAAACTAGCCAGGCATGGAGGCGGGTACCTGTAATTTCAGCTACTTGGGAGGCTGAAGCAGGAGAATTGCTTGAACCTGGGAAGCAGAGGCTGTAGTGAGCCAAGATCATGTCGCTGCACTCCAGCCTGGGCAACAGAGTGAAATTCTGTCTCCAAAAACAAAGCAAAAAAAATTGAGCTAGTAAGAGCCAAAATTGCTGACACATTGCTGGCCGTGGCAAGTGCTCAGATGCGAGCAGTTATGAGACCCTGATGTCAACCTGGCCATGGATACTCCAGACCACATTCTCACCAATGACCTCGGTCTGGTTCTAGAACGCCACTTTGTTGGTAAGAGACCTGGAGAAAGCACAAACACTCTCTCTTATGGAGGGCTTGAAGCTGGGATCAAGCTGGCAGCATGAACTCAACCCGGCGATTTTTGAGAGCCAGCTTGTTACTCTACTCTCAGGTTTTTTGTTTTTGTGTTTGTTTGTTTTAGAGACAGAGTGTCACTCTTTTGCCCAGGCTGGAGGGCAGTGATGTAATCACAGTTCACTGTGGCCTCAATCTAGGGCTCAAGCAATCCCCTTGCCTCAGCCTCCCAAGTAGCTAGGACTACAGGCATGCACCACCATGCCTGGCTAATTTTTTTAAATTTATTTTTTGTAGAGATGAGGGTCTCACTATGTTGCCCAGATTGGTATCTAATTCCTGGGCTCAAGTAGTCTTTCCACCTCAGCCTTCCAAAGTGCTGGGATTATAGGCCTGAGCCACTGCACTCAGCCAACTATCAGTTTTTTATATAACAATTTGGTAAGTCATTGAATTTTCACTTGGATCTATTTGTAGAGCTTCAAGTTAAACAATATACTATTTAAAATGTATGTGCCTAGAACTAAGATAGGTATTACAGGAAATATAACAAAGAAGCCTTTATTCATAAGGAAAATAAAGCCGGGATAGATGGCTGTGTGTCAAAAGTGCTAAATCACAAGTGACAGGCATTGGCAAGCCATGCACGTGTTCCCTAGGATTTTGGTGTTTGGTGAGTTAATCTAGAAAAACTGCTCTGAGTCTAAAAATAGTGATATGCGTACTTTGTGTATTCTTCAAAGTCGTCCTGAAAATACGCCCTTGGTTTCATTCTCCTGAATGTCCTTGCACGAGCATTTGTCCAAATAGCCTCTGTCTGAGCACCTGCGGTTGGTGGGTGCTCTCCCGGTGAGGGGACACTGCAGTGTCCAGTCCTGCTCTGGGGAATGGGGATTGAATGAGGTCACACGGACAGCGCTATCATGGTGCCTGGCTCTAGGTGAGACCTCACCCTTGCCGATTTCTGGTTACGTTGTTTGCAATCATTTCATTATGAATCTATTTCTAAATGTAAAAAGTTGGCCAGGTGCAGTGGCTCATGCCTGTAATCCTAGCACTTTGGGAGGCCGAGGCTAGTGGATCACTTGAGGTCAGGAGTTTGAAACCAGCTTGGCCATCATGGTGAAACCCCATCTCTACTAAAAATACAAAAAATTAGTTGGGCATGGTGATACGTGCCTGTGATCCCAGCTACTCAAGAGGCTGAGGCAGGAGAATCGCTTGAACCTGGGAGGCGGAGGTTGCAGTGGACTAAGATCGTGCCACTGCACTCTAGCCTGGGCGAAAGAGCAAGACTCCATCTCCAAAAAACAAACAAAAAAAGTCTGCAGTCCTGGGTGAAAACTCTGCATGTTGCTCTACTGGCCCACCCTCTAGTGGCGGCAGCAGGGCACCTGTGTCTCCCCTCCAGGAGTTATTTTTAAATAGCTTCATGCCTTCATGCTTTTTGATTTAAAAGCATGCAATCCTGCATTGAAGGCAGTTTTGCTTTTTTTTTTTTTTTCGGTTGGAGTCTCACTCTGTCACCCAGGCTGGAGTACAGTGATGTGACCTTGGCTCACTGCAGCCTTGACCTTCTGGGTTCATCCGGGCTCAAGCAATTATCTCACCTCAGCGTCCTGAGTAGATGAGAGTATAGGCACACCACCACACCCAGCTAATTTTTTATTTTTATTTTTTTTTTGTAAAGACAGGGTCTCACTATGTTGCCCAGGCTGGTCTCAAACTCCTGGGTTCAAGCTATCTTCCTGCCTCGGCCTCCCAAACTACTGGAATTACAGTCATGAGCCACCATGTCCAGCACATTTTGCATTTCTTAAATTGCTATCAAAAGCTTCATCTGGGAGGCTGAGGCAAAAGAGAGGACTGCTTGAGCCCAGAAGTTCAAGACCAGCCTGGGCAACAAAGTGAGACCTCGTCTCTACAAAAATACAAACTCAGCCAATCGTGGTGGCTTGCACCTATAGTCCCAGCTACTCAGGAAGCTGAGGCAGGAGGATCACTTGAGCCCAGGAGGTCAAGGCTGCAGTGAGTTGAGATCACACCACTGCACTGGCCTGGGCAACAGAGCAAGACCCTGTACCTAAAAGGAAAAAAAAAAAAGGTAAATATTTGAATTAATCATTTGATAAATGTGGACTTACTCCAAAGTGTCCTGTGATGTAAGCCCTGAGGGTCTTTTCCTTTTGTGATTCTAGCCACAGTTCTAAGAGTGGTTTTGCTATTCTTGGTTCATCCTAAGTTGATTTCAGAAACGTCATTGATTGCTGTAGTGACCAATATCACACTTTTGAATTGATTTCCGGCTTACCCTTATTGTATAAATATATAGCTATGTGCATGTGTCTGGGTGCACTGAATTTCTAACTCTGCATAACTACTTCATGGCCACTAGTAATCATTCTTCTGGATTTTTAAAATCTTTAAAACTCATCCATATTTGCAGAACATAACTCTTATTTCTTGTTTGACTTGAATTCCCTAACCATTCCTTCTCAAAGAGTTTTGGCAAGGACTTTGGATGTCTTAGTAAAATAGGAACAAAGAGAGCTGTGTTTTTTGGCTTGATGTGTTACTTGTTTCTTCTCTGATCATATGTGTACACATGTGTATATATAATTTTTAATAATCCCAACCACTGATTTTGTTTCTTTTAGATGCAAATATTAAAAATGCATTATTTCTGTGTACTTTCAAACTTCTTCTGAGACACTCTTTTTAAAAAATTTTAACTTTTCGCCTCCATTTTCAGGCCCCTGACATTTATGGGTTCGCAGACTAAGCGAGTCCTGCTCACCCCGCTCATGCATCCAGCTCGCCCTTTCCGGGTCTCCAATCATGACAGGAGCAGCCGGCGTGGGGTGATGGCGAGCAGCCTGCAGGAGCTCATCAGCAAGGTGCCTGGCAGCCCACACGTCTCCCCTAGTGCACAGGGGCGCCCTGCACTCACACAGGGCCTTGGTCTTGGGCTGTAAGCCAGGGTCAGGACACAAAGGTCAAGAAAAGCAGCACCTCACTGGGAGGGAGCGGGGAGAGAAATTGGGAGTGACTGCTCGTGGTTATGGAGTTTCTTTTTTTTTTTTTCTTCTTCTGTTTTTGAGACAGGATCTTGCCATGTTGCCTAGGCTAGCTTCAAACTCCTGGGCTTAAGTGATCCTCCCACTTCAGCCTCCCAACTGCCTGCCAATTTCTTTCTTGGGCGATGAAAGTGCCATAAAATTGAGTGTGGTGACAGTGATCCAACTCCGTGAGCATACCAAAAACCACTGCACTGGACACTTTAAATGAGTGGATCGTATGAGACGTGAATCATACATCAATAAAGCTGGTATTGAAAGAGGAGGAAAAGAAAGAAGGAGAAACAACAAGTTAAACTCATCAGACCCTCTCTTGGCCTCAGAGATTCTGAAGGCAAAGTTTAGATGAAAATAATCAAGGGGAACATTACATTTCTGTACCATAAAGAATTTAGGTACAGAGACAAATACAATAAATAGTCACCAATGGAGAATGTCGCTTTGTTTCTTTGACAAGGGAGGATGCAGGGAAGCAGCTGACTTTGGAAGTCTGGTTTTGGTTATAAAGGCCAAGATCTAGAACAGTGTCCTAGACCACCAAATAAGGAAGAATCCCAGCCTCTCAGAGGGGCATAACTCAGACTCAGGCACCCATGGAAACAAGAAACAAGCATCCAACATGCGGTGTCTGAAGCAAGAGAGACACTCGGCTACGCACACGAGGCTGCAGCTCTTACAGTAGCATACGTGTAGGAGTTTTCTTTTTATTCATCTAAATAAGCAGATAATCTTAGAAATTATAATTATTTAATGTAACCATTATCTCATGTATCTTAAGAAGACAGATCTATTAAAAATCTTAACTTCCTGACTGCATACAGTGGCATGTACCTGTAGTCCCAGCTACTCAGGAGGCTGTGGCAGGAAGATTGCTTGAGCCCAGGAGTTTGAGGCTGTGATGCACTGTGATTGTGTCTGTGAATAGCCACTGCACTCCAGCCTGGACCACATAGTAGGTCCCCATCTTAAAAAAAAACATTCTTAACTTCCCTGTTTCTGAGCAAAGACTGAGTCGTAGACACCAATCAAGGTTACCTTTACCATTAAAATTTTATCAAAACCCACATTTTTGAAAATTATAACTTAATAAATGTCATTGGATAGTCACATGGAAGCATTTGGCTTCACTCCATTTCTCTGATGTGTTGCACACCTAGACTCTGGATGCCCTACTCATCACCACCGGACTGGTCACCCTGGTGCTGGAGGAAGATGGCACCGTGGTGGACACAGAAGAGTTCTTTCAGACCTTGGGAGACAACACACATTTCATGATCTTGGAAAAAGGACAGAAGTGGATGCCGGTAAGTGAAAACATTGTCACCCAAACAGCTATTGGGTAGATTTCTTACTTACAAAAGTACACACCCTACTTGGGTGTGACTTGTCCACTTTCTAAATACGCACTTTGTATTCACCTAACAACAGGATCCATTGCCCTCAAAGGTATTCTTATAAGTGTTTCTAGGAAACTTAGTCTCCCTGTGAACTTAGGCTATTTGATATAAAGGAAATAATTCTAAGGAACAAGCTTTGGCCAGTGAGTAGCTACAGATCCCATGAAATGCATGGAATCAACCTGGCAACTCTGCCAATTTGGAAGGCTGGAGAAGTAAACACCATCAAGGAAGGTAGGGAGAGTGTGTGCATGAATGCGCATGTGAATACGGAGATTTAGAAAAGTAAAGAGACAGAATGAAGCCTGCTGTCTCTGGGAAAACTATAGATGATATAGCTTAAAAAACTTTCCCATTATAAAACACCTAAAAATGTAAAGCACAATATTAAAACATCTTTTCACATAATAAACTGATATCCAAGAAAGATAAATCCTCAGTGGTTAAAATTTTGTGAGGCTAGCATCCAGAGAGCAATGCAAACACTGAAGCTGGCAGATCCACAGGCATCTCCTCCGGGGACCCTTAACCTGTGAGTACCCACTCACTTCAGGGACAGATGCAAGGAGGACAGGAGACAGCCTCCAGCTGACAGAAAGTCGGGGGTGAGATTTGAAGATCTGCCCAAAGCAGGGAATCTTAGAGCTCTCTCCTGGGAATTTGGCCTACAAGCTGCCCTTATGAAGATTTAGGCACTGCTGAGTTCCAAACCCTAAGCTGAGAGTTTGGTTTTCAGAGATCTGGGGGAGTAGCATCAATGGAGCGGTTTGCTTATTGGATAATCTTTGCTCCAGTCCTGTTTCCAGGGTTGATAATGCCCCAGGTAACTAGCAGGAGCATAGGCAGATCCCCTTGGAATGAACGTCCATCCTGGCCTCAAAGAGTTTTCATTTCTAATGTTTTCACAATGCAAGTTCACAGTCAAAACACAGAACGTAAGGACTCAGGCACCACATTCATGAGAGTAAGCAGAAGCAATAAAGTCAAGCCTGCCAGGACTGCAGATGTTGGAATCATCAGATACAGAGTATATAATTACTGTACTTAAAATGTACATAACTAATGTATGATAACAAATGCAAAATTATGCACCATGGTGTGTCTTGTGCATACAAAGGTTAGAACAAGCAGACTCTGGCAGCAGATCTCCAGAGACTCAAGTTTAGATTCTCATAGTGTATGTGAAGTAGTTATATTCTCGGCTTAAATAGTTTAGTGTCTGTTTAAAAAAATTTTTTTTTTAAGAAAAATAAATAAAAGAAAAAGAAAGGCTCACACATGGCTAAATTTGACTGGCTAAATAAATAAATAAAATGCTCAAAGAAACATTAAAAATAACCGAAAGTAAGAATAGTCAGGAATTCAAGACCAGTCTAGGCAACATAGCAAAACCCCAATCTCTACCAAAAAAAACTTTTTAAAGGATTAGCTAGGCATGGTGGTACACACTTGAAGTTCTCCCTACTCAGGAGGCTGAGGCAGGAGGATCACTTGAGCCCAGGAGTTGGAGGCTGCAATGAACTATGATCGCACCACTGCACTCCAGCCTGAATGACGGAGCAAGATCCTGTCTCCGAAACAATAAAAAATAAGAAAACACCAGCCGGGGCAACATGGCAAATCCCATCTCTACCAAAAAGTACAAAAATTAGCCTGGCATAGTGGTACATGCTTGTAGTCCCAGCTACTTGGGAGGCTGACATGGGAGAATCACTTGAGCCTGGGAGGTCAAGGCAGAGAGTCATGATTGCACTATTGCACTCCAGCCTCGGTGACAGAGGGAGACCCTGTATCAAAAAATAAAAATAAACTTAAAAAGAACAAGAGACAATAAGAACTGACTAAGCAGGTTTGAAATAGAATTTTTGGAAATGAAAATTGTAACAACTAAAATTAAGTAAATGGAGACTCAGGTTAGACAGAACTGAAGGTAATGATCAAAGATCTGAAAGATGTTTCCTCTGATGTAACACATAGCAACAGGGGTGGGGAACACAAAGGATGTGAGAGACCAGACTGAAATCTAATATCTCTCTTTTTGGCATCCTCAGGTAGCGAAGGATTTTTTTAAAACAAGACACAATGCACAAGTCATTAAAAAAAAAAATAGAAATCAATTCATTTAAGAATGTTGTTCATCAAACGACACTATAAAGGAAGTAAAACAATAAGCCATGAAATGGGGAGAAAGTATTTTCAACATCACCTGATAAAAGATTAGTATTCAGTAAATGTAAATAACTCATATAAATCAATTATGAAAACAACAAATAATCCAATTTAAAAATGAGCTAAAAGAGGTCACACACGGTGGCTCCCAGAACTTTGTGGGGCCAACGTGGGAGGATTGCTTGAGCCCAGGAGTTCAAGACCAGCCTAGGCAACAAAGCAAGACTTTGTCTCTACTAAAAATAAAAAAATTAGCCAGGCATGGTGGTGCACACCTGTAGTCCCAGATACTTGGGAGCTGAGGCAAGAGGATTGCTTGAGCCCACGAGTTTGAGGTTGCAGTGAGCTATGATCACACCACTGCATTCCAGCCTGGGTGACAGAGAAAGCTTCAAGGAAAGAAAAGGAGGATACAAGAGACAGAGACAGGCATCTCCAGAATAAACAGCGATACCATTTTATACCATTAGATTTAGTATTGCTAGACTTCTTGATTTTTTTTATTTTTAAGATACAGGGAGCCAGGCACGGTGGCTCACGCCTGTAATCCTAGTATTTTGGAAGGCCGAGGCAGGCTGATCACCTGAAGTCAGGAGTTCAAAACCATCCTGGCCAACATGGTGAAACCCCATCTCTGCTAAAAATACAAAGATTAGCTGGGTGTGGTGGCACACACCTGTAATCCCAGCTACTCGGGAGGCTGAGGCAGGAGAATCACTTGAATCCAGGAGGCAGAGGTTACAGTGAGCCGAGATCATGCTACTGCGCTCCAGCCTAGAGACAGAATGAAACTTCATCTCCAAAAAAAAAAATTAATTAATGAGGACCCCAACAGCTTTTGTTTGTGTGGGTTATATCAATAGATATTTGGGTGTGTGTGTGTGTGTGTGTGTGTGTGGTTTTTTTTTTTTTTTGAGACAGTCTCTCTGTGTCACCTAGTCTGGAGTGCAGTGGTGCCATCATGGCTCAAGTGATTTTTGTGCTTTAGCCTCCCAGGTAGCTGGGATCACAGGTGCACACCACCATACCTGGCTAATTTTTGTATTTCTAGTAGAGACAGAGTTTCACCATGTTGGCCAGGCTCGAACCCCTGACCTCAAGTGATCCACCTACCCTGGCCTCCCAAAGTGCTGGGATTACAGGCGGGAGCCACCACACCCAGCTTATATCAATAAATTCTGTAGACAACTGACAATCAGGAGTTCTCAACTGCAAAGACTTTGTCCCTTGGAGGACACTTATTAACATCTGAAGACATGTTAGGCTGTTACATCTAGTGGGTATAGACCAGAGATGCTACCAAACACCCTACAATCCACAGGACAACCCGACAGCAGAGATTTATCCAGCCTCAAATGTAAGTAGTGTCAAGGCTGGGACACTATAAGCTATAGATAGATATAGATATTCCCAGTAGTCAAAATTGGTTGTTTTTGATTTTTGGTTTTTGGTTTTTTGAGAATGAGTCTCACTCTGTCACCCAGGTTGGAGTGCAGTGGCACGATCTTGGCTCACTGAATCCTCTGCCTCCTGGGTTCAAGTTATTCTCCTGACTCAGCCTCCCAAGTAGCTAGATTTACAAGTGCCTGCCACCATGCCTGGCCTTTTTTTTTTTTTTTTTTTTTTTTTTTTTTTTTTTTTTTTTTTTTTT